GACAGCACGGGGTTAGATACAGAGTAAAGCTCCCTCTACACTGTCCCTGCTGATTAATTTTGCCCTGATCTCTCACCTGTCGTAACAGTCTCCTTTGCTGCCAATTGGGATATCAAATTCCACCTGGTCATAAACGTCATAAGGTTGAGACTTCCTGAGATCCCACTGGATTCCGGATCCGCGGAGCATGACACCACTGTGGGAGAGAGTGTTGGGGGAGGGGGCGGGGGCGGGGAGGTTGGGAAATCCACATGGTTAGATTGAAAGACAAATGTGCTGCTGTTTGCAGTGTGCAGGGAGCAGAGCAAATCTGAACTTTCTGACCTGAATCCATAGTTTAAAGCTTCCTCTGCACTGACGATGCCAATATCCACTGTGCGCTTCTTCCAGATCCTGTTGTTGGTGAACATCTGGAACAACAGAGGTAGGGATGAGAGAAGTGGGGGAAGGAACAGACAGATATAGAGTCAGTGCAAGAGATGGGAAGAGGAGAGGAACTTGGTTTCAGAAACACAGTGGAAGTGCAAAAAGAACAAACAGAACATAAACCCCTTCCCCCCGATTCACAATCCCCTCCCCCCCCACCCTGCTTTGCGATCTCCCTGCTCCCCCTCCATCACAGCCTTGCTGATGCACCTCTCGCTGACACACTCCGTTAAAACCAGCCCCATCCCTGGTGCCTATGCCTGAAGCTGAGCCACTCCCGCAGTGCGCTCACTCACTCTGTCAGCCGTGCCGCTGAGTCACTCACCTCCTCAACCTCATCGATACGGATGGAGAAATTCTTGATGAACTCATAGATGTCGTCCATTAAACCCAGGGGTAGGTCCTGGAAACAGGAGGGACAGTTAAACAGAGGAGGCTCAAGCATCCGAGACAACGTGTAAAAGCTGTGGGCACAGGGGATAGTCAATAGCTGAGGGCAGAATGAGACACTATGGGCAGTCACCTCCCTGTGGGATATCTAACTCGTTGTCATCTCACTAAAGCCATTAGTCCAGGGGTCCGGGCTGATGATTACTGTTCAAACCTCACTAGAACAGCCGGAGAAAGTTTAATTCAATTCAGAAAACCTGCAAGTGAATGTTTGAATGAGTGACCGGGTCACAATCCTCAATTGGTCATGGAGTCACACAGCACGGTAACAGACCCTTCGGTTCAACTGGCCCATGCCGACCATAATCCCCAAACTAAACTAGCCCCACGTGTCTGCTCTTGGCCTGTTTCCCTCCAAACCTTTCCTATTCATGTACTTAAATGTCGTTTAAACGTTGTAACCGTACCCACATCCACCACTCCCACTGGATATTCATTCTAGAAGCCAGTGTCATCGCACCAGCATTGCGTAAAAGTAACTGCCCCTCGTGTCTTTTTTTCTTAAAAGCCTTTCTCCTCTCCCCTTTAAAACATGTCCCCTAGTCTTGAAATCCCCCACCCTAGTGAAAAGACATCTGCCATTCACCTTATCTATGACTCTCACGATTTTATAAACTTCTACAAGGTCACCCCTCAACCTCCTACACTCCAGCCTCTCCTTATAACTCATACCCTCCATTCCTGGCAACATCCTGGTAAATCCCTTCTGAACAGTCTCCAGCTTAATAATATCTTTCCTATAACAGGGTGACCAGAACTGGACACAGTACTCCTGAAGAGGCCCCACCAATGTCCTGTACAATCTCAATATGCCATCCCAACCCTTATACTTAAAGGACTGAGCAATGAAGGCAAATATGCAAAATGCCACCTTAACATCTAGCTCATTAATGCCCTTCAGCGTCAGAACACGGAGTCCCAAACCACAGTAATGCAGTCGACTCTGTATTTACCCTCTAAAATGGCCAAGCGAGACACTCAATCCAAGGGCAATTGAGGGTGGGCAACAACATATTTGCTGCCACCTACTTCCTGCCAAAACAAAACGTCCCAAGGGAGACCAGGGCCCGAACCATGAGGTGTGAGGCTACTTTACCTGGTGAACCCCACCGGGTCTGACATAGGCAGCGTGCATCCGAGCTCCAGAAACTCGCTCGTAAAACTCAAACATCTGTTGGGGAGACAAAAAGAGGCAGAGAAGCTCATTGGTTGACTTGCTGGTTAGCTCATCAACTCACTCCTGGTTAGTTTAATGGTTCATAGCTCGGAGGGTCAAGACCACTAAATAAGCTGCAGGACCATCGGCTTGCTACCTCAATTCAAGCCTTAGTAATGCAATTCATTTGTTAAATCTTTATGCACTCTTCAGTTATGCAAAATGGTTAATTGGTTGCGACCGAGACTACTTGACGCGCAGTCAGAATGCTTTATTTCCAGTCACCAATATGATCAACTAAATGCCTTATCCATGTCAGGTTTTAAACAACAAAGATTCAGATTTTTTTAACTATCAGTTTGTCGTCAAGTAAAAGCTGATCAAACAGAGGCGCAGCATTCATTTAACGGTCAACGATTGAGAAATACAAACGCTCATCATTCTAAATATCTCCAGAATGTGCACGAAAATACACACACGCTCTTCAGCGCAAACAAACAAAAAAAATCAGATTTCACACATTTTGCTCAAGTCGCTATGTATGCTCCAGTATCAAGCGCTGAGCACAGCGAGATTCGGCCGGCAACAGGTCACTGATTGGTTTGTGGAGTTGTGACCTGGGCTGGACAACAAAGGTCATCAGCCTGACCGGCTCCTTGGGGAGCTGAACAGCTTGTGGGTGTAAATGATACTGGCAGAAGCCTTGGGTCAGCTGCAAGGGGCACATGGTATCTCTCTCTCTCTCTCGTAAAACATCTGAAGTCTGAAGGAAGCCAGTTTATTTCCCCTGCAAGGTGGGGCCTTTCGTTTCCCCTCACCAGCTGCTGCAAGTTGGGGCCTTTAATTAGTAACTCCGATTTTGTAGTTAGCACATCAATCGCTCTGCATCTTCCGTGGCGCAGTAAGAGATGAGAAATTGGGATTTGTGAAGTCATGTGGAATAGCCAGAATCCACCATCTGCCCACTCTTTCCAATTAATTTGTGACATACTCCAGGCAGTTCGACAAAATTCGAAGTGAATCCCTTTTCTCATAATCCTTCACAACTTAAGTCCTCAATGTTTGTTATATTAAATCCACAGCAGCCTGTCTGCCAGACTGTCCCAGGGGGAAGAGTAACTTTTCCCTACACTGACCCGTGACACTCACCTTCTCCCGCTCCTCGAACATCCAGAAGAAGGGGGTCATGGCACCAATATCCAGGGCGTGGGTGGTGATGGCCATGATGTGGTTTAAAATCCGGGTGAGTTCACCGAAAAGGACTGGAGGCAGGAGAGAGAACAAACGACAGGAGGTCAGAGTGGAAGGGAGAACGTCGAAGGCTGGCAGCAGGAAGGCATAGCGTGTGGTCGACATTAAACATCTCTCCTCCCACTCAGTCAATGCCCGACCACACCTCCCCACCCCCAGCCACACCACAGCAGAGCACCATGGGTCTCAAGTGTTGTTAAACGTAGGACGGAGCATCAGGGTCAGATCATTCAGCCCATCGGGCCCGGCCTATCATTCAACATGATAGCAGCTAATCCTTTATCCCGCGCCACACCCTACGCCTGTGCTTCTCAAAACCTTTAGCTGTCTTTCTTCTGCGCAACAGAGATCCACAGGTTCACCAGCCTCTCAGCGAGGACATTTCTTCTCATTTCACTCCTAAATAGCCCACTCCATATCCCAAGACCATGGCTCCTCGTTTTGGACTCCCCAGCCAGGGGGGAAAAGCATCTTCCTTGCATTCAGTCTGTCTAGCCCTGTCAGAATCTGTCAACAATCCCCTCTCATTCTCCTAACATTGGGTCAACGGGGCATCTCTCTCTCCTCAAACAACAAAGCTGCTATTCCAGAATTTCGTCTGGTGAACTTCACTGCACTCCCTCGATGGGAAGTACAAATTTTCTTCGATAAGGAGACCAAAACTCCACATAATACTCTAGGCGTGGTCTCACCATGGCCCTGTACAGCTTCTTTGTTCCTGTACTTGGGATCCATTTGCAATGAAGGCTTCCTTCCTATTTGACTTCTGAACTGCTTGCTGCACCTGTACGCTTGCTTTCAATGACCAGGGGGACAATGTGGAAGAAAATTTTACATCGCAAAGGTAGATGGGAATTTAGGCCAAGACAGAAAAGGCAGTCATGGGAGAAATTGACGGCATAGAGAAAGAATTTTAATTAGTTTAGCATGTGGGGTTTTAACGAGCTTAGCAGAAGTTGGGAGGTAGTTACTCAGACTGTGTTATCACTATGTGCATGTTATCTTAGCTACAGTTAGAGAAGGATCTTTTGATGTATTGTCACTATACCAAGGTTTTAGGCTGAATTAGAGACGTCCCTTGTATCCCCATGGAGCCTAGTTACTGATAAGCTAGAGTTTCAATCAAACTGAAATAACTCCCTATGCTAGCTGCATGCCGAAAGTCATTTGAAGAAGTAATTATTGAGTTATCTGTAAGGCAGCATTCCTGTTACCTCGAGCAGCGTCTGTTTTCTTTAAACTTACAATGAATGAATCAACAAACACAAGATGTCACGGGAACACCCTGCTCTTAAGTTAATGGTATAAATGAGATTGTTATACTCTGTATTAGCAGAGTTGGGTGCCTGTGGAGATCGACACTCACTTGCCTTGGTACCAAGTAAGAAAATAAACTGCTTTGAACGGGAGCTGGAGTCAAGTCTCATTATTAGTTAAGTAGAAATAAAAATTTCTACAACAGGCATTGTACATCTTTTGTACATCAATCTTCCCAAACTATCAACATTTCAATTGTATGATATCATTGTTTTTTCCTACCAAAGTATACAATCTCACAGATATCTGTTACACTGCATCTACTGTTTATTTGCCAACTTGCCTATATCATCCTCATGAGGCCTGGGCAGCGCTGGCTGGGTCCAGCGTTTATTGCTTGTCCCTAGTTGCCCCTTGAGAAGCTGGAAAGGAGCTTTCTGGTGGTGGCGTTCCCATGTATCTGCTACCCTTGTCTCTCGAGATGTGGTCCTGGGTTTGGAAGGTGCTGTCTGAGGATCTTTGGTGAATTTCTGCTGTGCATCTTGTAGATGGTACACACTGCTGCTACTGAGCGTCGGTGTTGGATCATCATTACACATCATCCACGCTATGCTCACACTCTCTCAGTTGTGTGGTCAGTAAAGTTGGAAATGTTACATTTGATTCCTTCTACAAATCACTGGTTCAGTGGTTGGGCGCAATAGTGGCTCAGTGGTTAGCACTGCTGCCTCACAATGCCAGGGACCCTGGTTCAATTCCACCCTCAGGCAACTGTCTGTCGAGTTTGCAAATTGTCCCCGTGTCTGCGTGGACTTCACCGGGTGCTCCGGTTTCCTCTCTCAGTCCAAAGATGTGCAAGTTAGGGTGGATTGGCTACGCTAAAAATTGTCCCTTACTGTCCAGGGACGTGTAGGTTAGGTGGTTTAGCCATGGGAAATGCAGAGTCACAGGGTAGGGGGATGAGTCGGTGTTGACTTGTAGGGCCAAATGGCCTGTTTCTACACTGTATGGATTCTACAATTCTGTAGAGAAACTGAAACACAAGCACCGATCCTCATAGGTTCCCAACTGTCACCATCTTCCATTTGGTGAATGATGCATCTATTTCTACCATTTCCCTTCTGCTAATTCGCTCTCAGTCTATGCCAATATATAACCACCAATCTCACATCTTTGATTTTGTACAATAATCTGTCATAAACGTTTTTAAAATCCAAATCCACTATATCTACTGATTCTCCCTCATCAATTCTATAGCTATGCTCTCAAAGAAACTCCAACACGTTTGCCAACCACCATTTCCATTTCATAAACCCACAGTTCCTCTGTGTAGTCAGAGTCATAGAGACGTACAGCACGGAAATAGACCCTTCGGTCCAACTTGTCCATGCCGACCAGATATCCTAAATTAACCTAGTCCCACTTGCCAGCATTTGGCCCATATCCCTCTAAAACCTTCTGATTCATGTACCCATCCAGATGCCTTTTCAAATGCTGTAATTGTACCAGCCTCCACCACTTAAAGCACCATTGTTTAGATTTTTTAACCCCCAATAGATCCCAAACAACACAACAGCTTATAAAACAGTAATTACTGCTCCAAGAAATCAGCTCCAACACTGCAATTGGTATTTTCCTGCGTCCCTATTATCATATCCTTCATAATAAGACTTCAGCACTTTCCTTACTACTGAGCCCAGGTTTCAGTTCCAGATTTTACGAATCGAATATAATTTAAATTCTACCACCTGCCGTGGTGGCATTTGAACCTGTGACCCCAGAAGATTAGATGGGAATACTCGATTACTAAGCCAGTGATATTACCACTGAGCTCCCACAATGGCGGAGGAAGGAGCCGTTCAGGATCTACTTCGGTTCACCAATTAAATCCAAACCGAGCATGTTGACGCTGATTGGCCATTGCGTTTTCACAGCGGAGAAGTGCCTTACCTCGGATCCACTGGGCGCGAACCGGGGGACGGATGTTCAGCAGCTTTTCCACGGCTAGGGAATAGCACTGCTCATTACACATCATGGAGACGTAATCAAGACGATCAAAATATGGCAGAGCCTGGTCGGAGGCGAAAGAGGGAGGGAGGAAGATAGAGAATGTCAAGGTTATTGATAAAGAAGCAACACATACACACCGTGCAGATGCTTGGCCAATGACCATCTCCATTAAGAGTGAACCTAAATCACATTCAACGGCTACATTTCCTCGCTATCAACATCCCGGTGGTTATTACTGACCAGGAAGTGAAATGAACAAGAAATACCATGGCTACAAGAACAGCTCAGAGGCTAGGAATCCAATAGGAAGTAACTCACTTCCTGACTCTCCAAAGTCCATCCATCCACAAGTCAGGAATGTGATGGAATATTCCCAACTTACCTGGATGACTGCAGCTCCAATGACAAAAAAAAATTTAAATTTAAAAACAAACAAGGGTACAGCCTGTACAATTAAAAGTAGGGCCTTGGGTCATGTTGTAGAACTGAGACACCTAGAGGCACAAGTATATAATTCTTTGAAATTTGTGTCACATACAGACAGGACGGTTAAGAAGGTGTTTAGCATGTTTGCCTTCATTGCTCAGACCTTTGAGTGTAGGAGTTGGGACGTCATGTTGAGGTTGTACAGGACATTGGTGAGGCATCTTCTGGAGCACGTGCCCAGTTCTGGTACCCCCGTTATAGGAAGCATGTTATTAAGCTGGAGAGGGTTCAGAAGAGATTTACCAAGATGCTGCCGGGAATGGAGGGGTTGAATTGTAAGGAGAGGCTGGGACTTTTTCCACTGAAGGATAGGAGGTTGAGGGTGTCATCAAGGTTTATAACATCTTGAGGGGTATAGATAAGGTGAATGGCAGGTGTCTTTTTCCTAGGGTGGGGTATTTCAAAATTAGGGGGTCATATTTTTAAGGTGAGAAGAGAAAGATTTAAAAAAGATATGAGGTGCAACTTTTTTTTTAAACACTGTGTGGTTTGTATGTGCAATGAACTGACATGGGATGTGGGTACAGTTACAATGCTTAAAAGACAGTTGGATAAGTACATGAATAAGAAATATTTGGAGGGATATGGGCCAAGCACAGGCAGGTAGGACTAGTTTTGTTTGGGATTATGATTGGCATCGACTGGTTGGACTGAAGGGTCTGCTTTGGTGCTGTATGACTCTATGGCTCCATAACATTGGAGAAGCTCCAGACAAAGTCTTTCCCTATTTGCTCTCTTCACATTTCATAGTGACCATTGTGCGCCATCTACAAGATGCACTGCAGAAACTCACCAACACTCCTTTGAAAACACTTTCCAAACCCAAAAGCCCTTCCACCTGGAAGGACAAGGGCAGTAGACATGTGAATGCCCCACCTGTAAATTCTCCTCTGAGCCACTCACCATCCTGACTTGGAAATATATCGCTGTTCCTTCAGTGTCGCTGGATCAAAATCCCAGAACTCCCTCCCTAAGGGCATTGTGGGTCAAGCCTCAGCACATCAGAATCCTTACAGTGCAGAGAGAGGCCAGTTGGCCCATCAAGTTTACATCAACCCTCCAAAGAGCATTCACCCCCACAATCCCTACAACTCCACTTTTACCATGACCAACCCGTCTATCCTGCCTGGACACTACGGGACAATTTAGCACGGCCAATCCACCCTAACCTGCACATCCCCGGGCACTATGGGACAATTAAGCACGGCAAATCCACCCTAACCTGCACATCCCTGGACACTATGGGACAATTTAGCACGGCCAACCCACCCTAACCTGTACATCCCTGGGCACTATGGGACAATTTAGCACGGCCAATCCACCCTAACCTGCACATCCCTGGGCACTATGGGACAATTTAGCACGGCCAATCCACCCTAACCTGCACATCCCTGGGCACTATGGGACAATTTAGCACGGCCAATCCACCCTTAACCTGCACATCCCTGGGCACTATGGGACAATTTAGCACGGCCAATCCACCCTAACCTGCACATCCCCGGGCACTATGGGACAATTTAGCACGGCCAATCCACCCTAACCTGCACATCCCTGGGCACTATGGGGCAATTTAGCATGGCCAATCCACCCTAACCTGCACATCTTTGGATTGTGGGAGGAAACTCATGCAGACACAGGCAGAATGTGCAAACTCCTCACAGACAGTTGCCCAAGGGTGGAATCGAACCAGAGTCCCTGGCGCTGTGAGACAGCAGTGCTAACCACTGAGCCACCGTGCCACCCAAACGGAGAGCAGTGGTACAAAAAGGCAGCTCACCACCACGTTCTCAAAGGGAAAGCTGGGACAGGCAATAAATTCTGGCCAGTCAGTGATGCCTACATCCCACAAGGTAACTTTTAAAATAAGTTAAGTGATAATGGGAACTATGAGTGGGTGAAAATGGGTTGTCCGTGCTGAAAGCAGTCCATGCTAAGACAGGGCCTGAGGTATGGTAATAGACAGCAAGAGCTATTCATGCTCTTAAAACGATCAAACTTCGATACCGAGTCCTGAAAGCTGCAGGATCCCCAAGCATGAAAGGAGATACCGCTAATCCCAGCTACACTGCAGCAGGCCCGAGACAGAAATGTTCTCCAGGGATATTTTCTGATCTGATTTATGACTGTCACATGTACCTAGGTACAGTCAAAAGTTTCGTTCAGTACAGGTCGATCATACCACATAAACAGAGAAGAGTAATGAAACAGAGCGAGGAATACAATGCTACTGCTGCAGAGAAAGTGCACAAAGAGCAAGATCAACGTTAAATTTAAAGTTTGTGGTTCGTTCAGAAGTCTAGTAACAGCGATGAAGAAGCTGTTCTTGAATCTGTTGCTATGTGAGTTGAAGCTTTTGTATACTCTGTCCGACAGAAGAGGTTACAGGCGATTATAACCGGGATGGGAGAGGTCTTTGATGATGTTGGCTGCCATCCCGAGGCAGCAAGATGGGGTGAATGGATGCAAGGGAGCACAGTGGTGTGAAACAGCAGGCAACTGGAACGTGGGTGGTCTGCAAAGGAGTTGGCCCCAGTCTGCACTTTTGTCTCCCCAGTGCAGGGGGGACCACATCGCAAGTGCCAGCTCTGCCTCAGGCTGAGGGCCGCAGTCCAGTGAGCTGAAGGCCTTACCTGCAGGTAGGTTTTGTACTCAATGAGCTTCTCAGTTCCCCGATGCAGGAGGCCGATGTGCGGATCACATTTCTTCACCGACTCCCCGCTGAGCTCCATGACGAGCCGCAGGACCCCGTGGGCTGCCGGGTGCTGGGGACCAAAGTTGATGACAAAGTTGCTCACCTTCCTGTCTCTGGGGGGGTCCTTGTCTGGGGAGGGAAGCAGGAGAAAGACAGCGTGCACACGTCAGCAATTATGAATATAGAACCGTGCAGCACTGGAACAGACCCTTCGGCCCACAATGTCATGCCGAACCTGAAGCCAAATTAAACTAATCCCTTCTACCTGCCCTTGGTCTATATTCCTCCATTCCTTGCATATCCAAGTGTTTACCTAAAAACCCCTTAAATGTCCCTATCGTATCTGCCCCGACCAACACCCCTGGCAGCGCGTTCCAGACTCCTACTAGTCTTAAAAACTTGCCCCTCACATCTCCTTTGAACTTTCCCCCTCTCACCTTAAATGCATGCCCCCTAGTATTAGTCACTTCAACTCTGGGGGGAAAGATTCTGACTGTCAGCCCTATCTGTGCATCTCAATTTTATAGACTCCTATCAAGTCTCCCCTCAACTTCCGCTGCTGCAGAGAAAATGAGTTTTTCCAGCTTCTCCTTATAGGTCATACCCTCTAATCCAGGCAGTATCCTGGTAAACCTCTTCTGCACCCTCTTCAAAGCCTCCACACCCTTCCTGTAATGTGGAGACCAGAACTGAACGCAATGCTTTTAAATGTGGCCTAACAAAGTCTTATAAAGCTGCAACATGACATCCTGACTCTTGTACTCAATTCCCTGACCAATAAAAGCAAACATGCCATATACCTTCTTTACCACCCTATTGACTTGCGTGGCCACTTTT